TTTACAAAAATGCCACTTTTTCAAAATTACTTTTTCTTTATATTATTTATGTTTGGGTTAATTATGTTTTATTAGGATTTAGTTTTGAGTGTTTAGGGAGTTTTAGGTGTCAAAACATTTTTTAGGGTTTAGAATTTTAAGATATAGGTTTTATAAATGTATAATTAGTGACATTTTTGTAAATGGACACCCTTAAATGGCATTTTTGCAAATGTGCACTCAAAAAGTGGCATAAAACATCAACATAAATAAAATATTTTATTAATATTTTTGAAAATTATATCATTAATATTTCTAAAACACACTGTATAAAATTACATTGGAATATATCTAATTAAAATAATTAATTATTTTTATTTTTATCATCTTTCATAATAAATGTAATATAACTTAGATTTAATAATCTTAATAAAAATATTAATAATGTAATATATATTATAGATAACATAACCAAAGAGTTATGTTTTCTAATATAAAATTAAGCAAAAAATCATAGCATAAAATTATAAGTAAATAAAAATTAAAAATGCTAGAAAATATTACATTTAAATTTTCAAAAAACAATTTTAATTTTAAATCTCATATTTTCTAATATATTAATATAACTATATTTATTAAAATATTATTAATTTAATATCAAGTAAAAATAATATCAATATATAGTTTAAACTTATGCATAATGAAACTTAATAAATAGATAATTTTATTTCAATATTAATAAAAAAGGTAAAAAATAACAGCATACAAACTATTTAATTATTGTTCTTTAATATTGTGTATTTGATTTGTAACTAAAAAATGATGAACCATATGATAGAATGTCATGTATCCAAGAAATGAGTTTTTTATGGCGTTGTCCTTTGAGAATCCATTCTCACCTTTTTTTAATTTTTGTTTATTTTTTCTTGTCTTAAATCTAAAAAAACCCTTATAATAATCTGTTTGATTTTCATTTAATTATAGTCTCTTTCTATCCACCCGTATGTTAGAGAAGATATCCATGGTTAACATGTTTGGTTTAAATTATGTAGCTTAATGAGGAAAAGTTTCGAATTAGTACATGTCTTAGTATAATGTTATGGTGTCCTTGAAGATAAGGCTTCTGTGGCAAATACTAATTAGCGCATGTTTTGTCAAGTGATTATTTTGAATCTTTGATTCTTGTTGGCTTTATGAAGTAGTTGAAGTCTATGCAGGCATATCAGCATGGCCATTACGTGTAAACAGACGTTTCAATTAAACGTAAACGTACAGGTTTAGACATCTGTTTATAAGTAATTTTCTTTTCTACATACGTATGGATTAAATCAATTAATAATATAATTTTACAAAAAAATAAAAATATATCCTACCGATTCTATAGAATACAAAAAAATTAGACTATATTACGTACTATATTTTCAGCTCGGCTTGGTTTTATTTGGTTTGGAATTATCACTTAAAATACCCATTTTTTACAATCTTTTTCACTTAGAACAATAACTAAGAAAAAAAGACAATTAGGTTTCAAAGTTTCGACTGAAACCAAAAATATTTTATGAATATAACAAGAGCCGGTATCTCTTATAGATATAGTTATGTTTGTCTTTTACATATTCGTGTGAGCATTCTCAATACAATTCTCAAATATAATAATAAGTGTATGCAATTTTTAAAGTTCTATTTATTCAAAGAATCATATCTTTTGTGTTCCATTAAACCAGATAACTGAAAGTTAGCATATACAAATACAACGAAGAAACCCTTGAATGAAAATACATTGCACTCTACACTCTTTGTCGCAGTGAAAACCTTGTGGTTTCACAACTTGGGACGAAACTTCATGATGCAACACAATCTGAGGAGTTTCTTCAGGTAATAAACGTTTTGCACCAACATTTCGATATGTTACGATACTCATCACTACAAAACCAAATCAATGTTTCGTTATGAATAAAATTTTGCATGTAAAATTTGTTTCCCTGTAAATATGAAATCTGAAACTTACTGGCTGTAAAAGTTAAGAAGATAACGAAAACAAACTTCAATGATATTTTCTCCATTGTTTTGCTTGTAGTGAATATTATTACAGAAAGATGTTGAAGATAATGGTATACGAAGTCCAGTGTATTAGCTGTTGTGGAACTATTTGTATTGAACGGAGACGATATAGTTTAAGTAATATACTTATCAAATTTAATTTTTGTCAACAGTCAATTATTTGTCCAAATATAAGAAGAAAATCATAATTTTTATTATTTGTTACCAAATTCGATAAAAATAGTTACGACTTCACTGATTTTTTTTTTTCTTATATCAAGTTCAATAAAAAAATACAAGACCAAATTAGGAGCCTGATGTGATAAAAAAAAATCAATACACTTTGACTGAAACGGTGTGGTCTAGTAGAGACAAATGGCGTTAGACTCGTAGGGATGATAACATGCTAGAGCATGATCAACGTCGGGTGTTAGTGTTTTTAATAAAATTTTTAACGAGTTATTAATGGATTAAAAATAATTAAATAATCTTAAAATCTCAAAATGGGATTCTAATTTTAGCATTTATAGAACTTTAAAAATGGAGTTCTAATTTTACACACAATACATATAATAAAAAAATATTTAGCACTCCAACTTTAAGTGTTTAACCACTATATGCTCTTTGATTAAATGGTGGGTATTAATGAGTTTTTAATAGGTTGCTAATGGATTAAAAACAATTAAATAGTCTTCGAACCTCAAAACTGGATTGTTAATTTTATATTTTTAGAACCTAAAAAAGTGGATTGCTAATTTTTAGCATTTATTATATAATAAAAAATATTTAGCATCCCAACATTAACACCCACCATTGATCATGCTCTTAGTGATATGAAAAAATAAACTCAATAGACAACTTTCGCACTACACTCTTATTTATGAGGGGTTATCTGAATTAAACTAGGGGTAATTACAAAAATGCCACTTTTTGTGTGCACATTTGCAAGAATGCCATTTAGAGATTTCTATTTGCAAAAATGCCACTAATTATAGTTTTATAAAATCTTTATCTTAAAATTCTAAACACTAAAAAATGTTTTGACCCCTAAAACCTCCTAAACCCTCATAACTAAATCCTAATAGAACATAATTAACCCAAACATAAATCATATGAAGAAAAAATAATTTTGAAAAAGTGGTATTTTTGTAAAGATTTCAAAAATGTGGCATTTTTGTAAAGTGACACTTGAAAAGTGACATTTTTTGAAATTTCTCATTAAACTAATTAGTCCTCTATATATATTTTATAATCTTCAAAACTAAAATTTTTATAACATTTATAAGAATTCATGAGTGTAAATTCTAAAATTTGGATGTTGTACTTGACTTTTGTTTTTATTCATATAAAAAATACTGGAA